ATAAATAAAAACAACACAGTCAGTTTAAAAGAAGATAGTAATTACTATTATCAAATTCAAAGCTAAATGCACATCACAAAACAAAATTTATGCTATTTTTTTATATTTACTCCGAAGTGGAACAAACTCGAAATTATTAATTATTCAGAAGTATTTTGGAATGAAAAAATGGAATCAAATTTGAAATTGTAATTGTTTGTAAATAGTAAATTAAAATGTTATTGTATTTTAGTTTCTGTATATTAATTAGTAAAATTCTATTGGTATTTTTGTAAGTCTAGCATTTATTATATTTTTCAGATTTTACGAAGAATGTTTATTACCTGAAATTGTTGATTCAAAAAAGTGATATTATTGACCCCCCACACATCAAGGAAAATGTTATAAAATATAAAGAAAGAAAAAAGAAAAAAAGAAAACTATAAATTATATTATACTTGTTGAACTAATATTAATTTTTTTCATGGTTAAATAATAGGAAATTGTTGCTCTTTACCCTTTTATTATATTAATATAGGTAATATGATTATAATTTCTTTTTTAAATATAAATGTGGTGATAAATAATATAGGTCACATACTAAATCTATTGATTGATTTTATGCATTTGATAAACTGTAATTCATTGGATTGTGTAATACTTATAATATAGTAGTTTGTATAGTAGGTAATTTTAAACACACAGTTGCTTATCGAAATAATTTTTTGATAAATTTATGTTACAATTTGTTATCATTATATTATACAACTATACATTTTAAATTAGTTATTTTTCTCAGTGAATGTACCCGATCTCTAAAAATTACTGAATGATAAATAAAGATTTTAGAGTGTTATTATTATCATTACGAGTAGATTACCTATAATTACTATATTACTATATTAGGTAATAGGTATACGTTAGGTATACCTAATACAAACATATTATTAATTTAAATAAATATTTGTAATTACTTATTATCATATTTAAATATAACATTAACAGTTGACCTTAAAAAATAATACACGGTAAATTAATATTAATTTAATTGCGCTGTGTTTATTTTATTTACCATTTATTAGATTTTACTATAAGTATTACCTATATTTAAATAAGTAATAATTCAATAACTTCAAATCAAGCTATGTTATAATACAGTTTCTACGATCTATATGTTGGGACATAAATTTAAGTAAACAGTATCTTAATTTATAATCTGTAGTTCGTAGGTAGGTACGCGAGGGTATTGAAAATATTACGGCGGCATTTGCGTATAATGAATTTATAATGATACGAATGGTACTGGACGAACGTTCATAGACAAATAAACGGGGCTCCCGAAGTCCCGAACGAGCACTCGTCGCCGCCGTCGCTTGCGGATCGTGAAAACACCTAACAGCGCATCCTCTCGGTCGTTGCATGCGTACACGTTTGGGTGACACGTCCTCTTCAGGGGATTGGAAGCGGCGATTTTCTGTCATGTCTAACACACGTGCAACATAGGATTATAGACGTGTTCTATTTCCAACGTACCGAATACCGATTAATCTAGTGAAGCGATAAGAATTCTGAAAACAGATTTGAATTTTTCGTCAAGTCTACTTGAGATCGACTTTCCCACATTTTTGATATTTTGATTAAAACTTCTCCAAAAATTGAAATATGGCAATTTTTTAATTACTCTTTTTAATATATCATTTTTAAGATTTTTGGGGGATAATATCAAAAATGTGGGAAAGTCGATCTCAAGTAGACTTGACGACAAATTCAAATCTGTTTTCAGAATTCTTATCGCTTCACTAGATTAATCGGTACGTTGGAAATAGAACACGTCTATAATCCTATGTTGCACGTGTGTTAGACAAAGACAGAAAATCGCCGCTTCCAATCCCCTTAACATTTTATTCTAATATACCTAATACGTATAATTTATTAAAAATTTTTATAATAGGTATAATTGATGACAACTTTTTACTGATTTCTTTTACATTTTGATGAAAACGAAACACCTAATTCTTAATAATATTTTTATTGTGATAATATTATGGTAAGTTTTATTTATACACTACTAGTTACTACCCATTTTTTAAACATAATTATATTGATTAAAACCTGATTAAAAGTGGGGTATTTTAATATTAATTAAAATTAATATAGGTATCTAAATTTGAATGATGTAATCCTGGAAATAGACTACCTACAGCAAAATTAAAAAGACTTGTGAAATTGGTTTTATAGCCTTATAGTTAATGTTTATGAATATAATATAGGTAAAGCTCTAATACGTTTGCCAAGTTATTGTATAGAGTTTGTCAAACTATTCATTTTTAATTCAACAATAATAATACCTAACATAATCTATTATTATTGTTAGTTTGTAGGTAATTTTACATAAAATATATTTGTTTGCACTTTGCTTCTATAATATAATATTTACATTTTAGATAATTTCAATAAGGCTTGGTACAAACGAGTAGAAGTGTAATCAACAGATAGTGCAAATATTTTAAATGACCCGTTACTTCTGAAAAAAAAGAAACAAAATACCTTAGACAGTAGTGACAGTGATAACGAAGGTATAAACATTATTATTTATGTTTAAGTTAATAAGTTATATTTGATGTATTATATCATACCTAACTAGTCGTATTTGATTTAATTTAAAGATCCTGGTTACACTATTATACCCAATATTCAAGGGGCAACAGTGTCAGGAACATTATCTGAAGAGCCATTGCAAACATTTTCAACAAAATATAATAGTGCTTCTTTGTCATCAGCAGTAGACTTCACTTTTCACAAAGGAAATAGTTATACAGATTTGCAACCTTTGACATTGCTCAATTCAAATACTATAGCATCTCTGATGCAAGCTACAGATTACATGAATTTACCAACGACAAGTGAATCTTCAAATACATCAATGATAATATGTGAATCTTCAAATCCAGTATCGGCAGTATCACAGGTACATACAGTTTAATGTTCTTATAATAAAATGTACTGAACAGAATCTAATTATTATTATATATATTACAGAATCTTGAATCTACGAGGTCTCAAAATCAACACTTTCCAAATACTATTGAAAAATTATTTTATCCAACAATACAAAATTCATCTGAAGGTAAGGTTAATTTGAATATGCCTAGTAAAAGTGATGAAAATGACCAGACATTTAAATCAATTCATAAACTAATCATAGTTAAAATTAATTACTTTCAAAAAATTATACTAAAAATTAGTTAATGAACAAACGATGATACTGCATATACATACAACCGTATATCTATTCTAAGTTTCTTTAACTTTATTACCCTTTAATAAATATAATATAGAAGACAGTGCCCACATGTAATTATTTGTATATCTGTTTCATAACTAATTATTCATAATTTCACAAAGATGATTTAATTTTGAAATTGGTGACTAATATAATATAGTCTTCTTCACTATCTATGCATTAAACTTTTAAAGTGATTATAGTCCTATAAGATTGAAAGAAATGCTTAATAATTTACATATTTTTATGTTTGAAGGAATTCACATATTATTCAAACAAATTTATGTTGAATTGATAACTAATCGAATGATGAACGATAGACTTTGTAATAAGATAGATAGTTTAAAAGATGATGTTAAACGGTTCACCAGTCAAATGGTACCAATATTTGATTTTTCAAATGATACTGAAGATGTGTCGTTTTTAACACAGTTTCCCTTGTCATCTAATTAAAGTGTTGTTGAGTGTGAAAAAGTATTACAGATTGATTGTAATTCAAAAGAGAAATTGGTATGTTAATGGAATCATATATTTATTTATTTTATTCTTAAAATTTTAATTTATTGAGATTGTTCTGAACAAATTCTGTTGACAGAAAAATATGTTTTAGACAATAATGTTTAGGCAAAAATGTTTATAAAACAAATAAAAAGCATATCTTTAAATTATTATATGTTGTAAAATTATAAAATATTAGTGATTTGTTTAAATAACCAGTGCCAAGTAAGCTTGTAGGTATTTATTTTTTTTGTTAATGTAATGCATCTCAACATTAATTAAATTATTATAATTAATTAAGAAGTAGTATTAAGTAAATAAAGAAGGAGTAATTATTTTATTATACTTTGTCTCTTATTGTATCAATTAATTAATACATCTAAAACCTATGTACATTATTTTTTATTGTTATTTACTGTAGTAGGTATTGTACTACATTTTCATATACATTTTTTTTTTAATTCCATCTGATGGCAATAGTATAAAAATATAATTTAAAATAAAATAAAATACTATTGAATATATATAAATAATGCGAGTTAAATATTAATTTGTATACTTTTTGTGTTCATTATTAAATACAAACCTTTGGAAACCATATTTTTTACCTTTTTTTTATTTATTTCTATACCTAGTTAAATAGAATCTTTAAAGGATAAGTAGGATATATTATAATGTATTATATAATATATAAAATATATATGTTAATATATTTTATGTATAAATACATAATTATAAAAGTACCTACCTATAATAAATAATATATTCTACTTTATATTTTTACGGTAAATTCTATGCAGTCACATATTGTAATATATCCATGAAACTGTTAAAAAACATAACGGGAATATAATATTTTAATCTATTTACAAGAACCAAAAAAAAAATATAACTGGAACAATTTATAGGAATATTAATATTATATTCCAGAATACCATAAATGGAATATAAATGTGACTTACAATTCAGTTATGTTGCACCAAAACGTTAAAATTATGTTCCACAGAACCATAAACAGAATATAAACGTGACATACAGTACATTTACGTTTTATTCATTATTGCAAACAACATGGCATATTGCGTTATAGGAATGTTTTTGGAACTCTAATGGAACTTCCGTAAGAATGTTTCAATGTTCCTTAGGAATATTCCTTTTACATAGTCGTAACTGTTTTTTGCACAATGTATATAAACTATTGTTAGATATAAGCGGGTGACATTTTTCTGGTGGAATCAGATCATTTAATTAATATTTTTGATTTATTTTCAAATTTTATAAATATAAGATAAAAGTGGCTATTTATAAAATATATTATATTCTCTTTTTGAAATTCAGGTAAATTTAGGTGATATACTTTACCAAAAAATATTACCAATAGATTACATACTAAAGACTTAACTACAGCACTTACTTTTGGCAACTTCTTGGCTGGTTTCAAATGAATTCCACCAATTTCAACAACATTTGACGGGATTGAACTTGCAGGTTCGACTGTGAAATGTCTATTTACAAATACCAAAGATGGTGGGATGGGTGCATACAAATCGTACTCTCTTGGTTCTTTGTACATCAGAATCCGTTCTTTTACTTTGTTTACGATTTCGGCGTAAATCGAAATAACAATATTGGCTGATCTCTGGGCAAATGTTTTTGGAAAACCAAAACTCGCCATGCCATTAGCAACTACAGCGGGGTTGGACATGTGCCCGGTAAATGCACGTTCCATTATACCCATTGTTGGTACTGGTAGGACGTATATGAGCGGCAAGTTCAACTTGATGGCGGCGTACGACACGCATTCCGAGAATAATGGTTCGATTAGAACCACGTCGAAATCGGAACGTCTATTGGCAAACACATCTATCATTTTGGTATTTTGATAAACTACGTCGCATAAGGTTCTACTCAACTCTGGCACCTCACGCATAATTTTGAATAAGTTCCCGTATTTATTCATCATATCTTCGAGATCGCCGTCCAGAAATTTGATAGTAAACGTGGACACTTCTGTATAGTTTTCACGGTTTCCGTCGGTGAACGGCGTGAACACGGTGACATTGTGTCCCTTGTCCACCAGCGTCCGAAGAATTGCGCTCATAAAGTTCCAGTGGCTTTTACCTCCAACCGTCTCCACAGCTAATATTCTCGAACACTCGACGGGTGCAGGTATCCACGAACCAGCAAACGTGTAAATTAATATCGAGAATAATGGTAAGTACATTTTATTTGATTTGAAAGCCATCGTTTGATGTCTGAATAACGTCTGTAACACGCGTTTGAACTCGAACTGTTACGTGTAATTGTATTGGACATCGGACGGTTAGCGTTTAAAATGTTTAAATATGCTATTGACTAAATATACTATAGTACTATAGTATATTTATACAATGGATCTGCGTTGTTCAATTTGTTGTGATAATTGTGTGACGTAACCGTTTTAATCTTGCTATAATATTGTCCAACGACTCTAATGTTAGACGTGAATACCTTATTAATCAATTTTGAAGTGGGTGTGTTCTGCAGTGTTTACGTACACGCTTGTACGTAACTATGATAAAATAAATAGGCAGAAACTATAGTGGAACGGATGGTTTAGCGAAATAAAGCAACATCGCCGGCATGCAAGGTCACCGGTGCGAACACGTCTTCCACTTTAATATACATTATAATTATAATTGTACGTTTCAACATATTTACCCTTTCTATTTTAATGAAATTAAGAGGCCGCACTAGTAGACAAAATATAGCATAAAAACATGGTTTCGTAATTCCAGGAATACGGCTTATTGAAGCATTTTACAGCAAAACTACCTATTATAAAAATTGTAGAGGATAATTTTTTTAACATCCGTAAGAAATTTGATTTATGATATCGTTTCCTATCGTCCAATATCATAGGGTAAATTAACACGATTTTTAACATTTTATCGATTAATTATTCAACTAATTAATAAAAATATCACAAATCGGGCTTCTTACGATTGTTAAAAAAATTTTTCTCTACAATTTTTGTAATAGGTAGTTTTGCTGTAAACCGCTTCAATAAGCCGTATTAATTGAATTATCTAACTATTTGGGTATGATAAAAAATACTAATTATTACGATATCGGAATAATTAATAATTAGGTAAGAAAAAATATCAAAATTAAATCAAATGTTATTTCATTTAGTGTACATTGTAGTATAGGTACGTATATTGTATACAAATATGAAACAATAAAATTATTACAAATTAAATATCATATAATTATTAGGGCTCGGATTTATATGTAATTAAAAAATTTCTTTAAAAAAACACTTTTCTAAAAAAACAAAAAAATAATGAAAAATTTAAAAGTGTGTGGTATAATATGTCAAGTGTAAGAGCGCCACACACTTTTAAATTTTTCATTATTTTTTTGTTTTTTTAGAAAAGTGTTTTTTAAAAGAAATTTTTTAATTTTTTATTTTCTACTTTTTAGTTAAAAAATTTTTTTACGGATTATTGTATTGTCATCCAAGACCAAGGTCTATACCAATTTTCAGAATTTTTCATCTTCAAAAAGTGCCTCAAATCGAGCGCGCAAGATTTGATCACAGACGGACGTGAAACCAAACTTAAGAAAAGTGTTAAAAACCACGGTTTAAGATAGTCTATCTTAAACCGTGGTAAAAACATATTTTCTCTGCGACATGATAAACTGATTTCAGTAAGTGATAAATTCGTTTCACAAGATTTTTGATAAAATGTACTATATTTGATTTTACATATTTTTAAATATTTTGTCATAAATACATGTTTTTACATATTTCACAATTATTCAATTTTTATTCACATATTTAGACAATTTTACTGTTATAACGTCTTTTTTTCAGATTTCAGGTCCACCGGACGTATTTTTGACTTGGCTAAACGACCGTGGCACTCAACCTGTTATATTTTCAATTATTTCTAGATACGGTGTTATCGATAGAAATATCAGATATCTTATCGCAATGTATTACGATTAACACATTTTTAAACAAGTTAAGCACGAACGAGAGAACACTGCGATGAGTCATGAGTGTGTAGTTTTTAATGTGATATCGTAGTGTGTGTTTCGTGGCCTCGTTTTTCGTTATATTTTACATGTATACTACTACTACCAATAGGTAATGCCAAAAGTACGAACGTCTAAAACTTGCAAAGCAATAAAATATGTTTCTGAATATCCAAATGAACATTTACAAAGTGACGGTCACATTTTGTATTGTACCTACTGCTCGTAAAAAATCGATAGCAATTGATTATTTTTTTTTTTTGATAATACATATTTTGAATTCTTTAGCACATATTTATGTACATATTTTTGTTGTATAATTTTATAAATACATACTTTGGTTATATAAATACATATAAATCCGAGCCCCAATAATAATTATATTATAGTCGTTTGTGTTCGGAACACCGATAAGATAATAATATGATACGATACGGCAGTCGTCCGTCGATACGCATACGATTAAAGAATTTAGTGTACGGGAACGGGACCGCGATGATGTATAAAATATGTGCCATCACAACCCCACATAAAAAGTCGTTAGAAAGCTAAATTTCTCGAAAGTTTAATTCGTTTTTCATGTCTTATTTTTTGGTTGGTCTATAAATGACCAATGTATAATAGAAGTCGGTTAAAGACTTGTCCGACGGAAAAAACATAGTTGGACACGAAAAGTTGGCCGACTAGATAACGTGCAAATCAAACGTAGCGGTAACCGCTCAAACGCCGCAACAAAACATGCGACGGACGATTCGCTTCGTCCGTCTCCAAAGTGTGGTGCGTTTTTTAGATTTGGCAGTGGGATCATCCACGGCTACCACCGGCCCGGCTTGCGTCGCTGTCACCACGGCCGCTGTCGCCAGTATCAGGTTCCAGTTCTGTCTGGCCGGAACGCGCTGTGGGAATGGTTGGCAGTTCTGGCACGGTCTTGTCCGGTCATCTGATGGTGGCGTGACTTCCGGAGCCTCGACAACGTTGCCTGGGATGAGCACAAGGGGATGGTCGACGGACACTGACGGGCCAGCGCGGTGTGGTGGCAGCGGGATTTTCCGGTAAATAGGGGCAGCCGGCTGCAGGTCGACCAAATCGAGGTCCATCGATTCGGTGTCAGACGGCTTACGGCTGCTCTCTGCCTGCGGCTGTTCCGCCGTGGCGGTGACGTCTGCTTCAGCATATTTTGGTCCTCGGCAAAGTACGGTGACGTTTGCAGGCGTGGACTGCAGGTGGCTAATCGCGGATGGTCCTGTCAAGTTTGGCTCGGACTGGTGTCGGCGGCTAATCGCGACTGGTTCGGTGACGTTTTCCAAGGACCGGTATCGACAGCTAATCGAGGATGGTCCGGTGACGTACCGACTAAACTGCAACAGCGTCCGTTCAGGAACGTGGAACCGCGGTTTTCTGCGCAATTCATCATGATCATACGAGAATATAATATTATAATATAGATATAAGTCAAACGTAACAACTGGACAACTGGTATTATATTATAATACAATACGCACGACGTATTAATTTGGTTAGCTGATAAAATATATTATAAGATATCTACTCTATTCCATATTATTAAATGCATGAATTTGACATTTTTGGAAATGCAAAAATTAAAGTTATAACATTACGAAGTTATATAATACGTTGTAGATAGAAATTATGAATATTCCTTATTCTAGCCACAATAAAATTGGTAATTGGTAATTGTGTAAGGAATCCAACTTACCATAGGTATTAAGTATAATATATATGAGCTCAAAATAATTAAAAACTACTGATTTTTTTAAAACGATGAAACATTTTGATGGGTTATGCCTAATAATATTATATTATAATACTGTGTGCCTGTGTACCCATGTAGTACCCATGTAGTCATGGAGATATACAAAATAATAGTAATATAGTTAGGAGAGAAAAATCCGGACCTGGGAGTAATACCTTGGGGTCCACACTATTTTGATCTCATATTATTAACTTTGTCAGGTAACTGTCAGTAGTTAATTTTTTTCCACTCTGTTTGTCAAATTCTTATTTTTAATTGTTGCTTTAGTTATACTCAATTATACTACGATTGATGCTGATGGTTTGCTTAGTCAGTGACACGGTCGGCGGGAATAGCTATTTTATGAGTCAGCTGCCATGTATACCATACACTTGATAAAAATAAGAAGGTTTATAAGACGTAAATACACCATCACCAAATATGTGTGGATTATAATTGCACAAAAAGTTTAAATTAGATTTTCACGATATCGATATAATGTTGTTTGCACGATCAACAAATTTATATTGTTCGTTTTTATTTGTTAAGACTGGTAAATCGGAACTTTGTGGTATTGCCTCATTAAATGATTTAGGAATGGGAGGCAGCACTTTTCGTCGTTCACGGTATATAGATTTTCTAATACTGTTAATATCAGCGATTTTGGATGTACTACATGAAGTGTTTTTTAAATTTTTGATACACATTTCATTGGAACCATAAACAAAAATGTGATGAGCCAATAATTGTGATGACTGATGGCAACTCGATCATATTTTTATTAGTGATGTTACGAACCCTGATTTTTAAGGTCGAACCGAACCGAACCGAACCGAACTCTTCTTTAAATTAACGAATTCGAACAGATCCGAACCTACATATTTTTAATCGAACTCGAACCGAACCGAACTTTTCAAAATATTTTATCGAACTCGAACCGAACATTAAAAAAATTCCAAAGGTTAAAAATGTATTATTCATTTATTGTTTACTATTTAGTATTTAGTATTTACTATAAACTAATGATTATCTTATACAATATAAAGTTATTAATTAATAAACATTAAATAATAAAAAGTATAAACAATGGAAATTACAATTTATTTTTATAAATAGTATTTAGTTCGATTTAAATTTTGTATCAAATTTTAAATTATATACCTAATTAAATATTAAATATTTATTTATTTAATTATATAATTTAAAATTTGATACAAAATTTAAATTATTTAATTAAATATTGTCATGTAAGAACACCAATTTTTCAACCGATTGAGGTGATAGCCTTTGTCTTCGAGCTGTAACCACTTGTCCTGCTTTGGAAAACATCCGTTCGCTACAAACTGATGTTCCTGGAATACTAAGGTACTTCAATGCAACAGGAACCAAACTTGAAAATTTTTCAGTATTAGTTTTCCACCATACAAGGGGATTTGATGTAGGAGGAAGAAGTGGTTGTTGAAAGTATT